AACCGCCACTGGATTGAAATATGCAGCAGTAACCGGCGATGAAGTGGCGACAGCGGCTGTGGCCAGCGGCAGCGCATGCAGGCATTGCTTAAAAATAGACCAGCCTCTGCATTATTCTAACTTAACAGCTGACGGTCGGCCGCCCTTCCCTAACTGCCAATCTCTTATAATTAGGCGGCGCCTGAATAAACCATTCCCATTTGCGTGGGAGGTTCATTTTTTTATTAGACGACCGGTTGGTCAGTCTTTTGGCTTCGGCAGCATTGGGTCGAGGGAATCCAGTCCGATTTCGTCAGATCGGGCCAAATTCGTTGACGAGTTCTGCGAAGTTTGCTTCGCCCGTATCATACTGTATTTTCGCTTTTTGCACAGTTTCGACATCGGCTGCGACGCGGTGGTAGCGCGATTGAATTGCATGCAGTGCAAAAGTTTTTCCTTGTTTCTGTGCGTTGCTGCTAATAACATTGTCCTTGCCCAGCGAGCGAGCATCGGAGACGCCAAATTCCTTCGTCGGACTCGTTTGACTCATTTTCTGCAGTGCGGTGTCGGTTGATGTTAAAAATTAGCCTCAACCGTTCTTTTTAATTAAAGTCATTTTAAATGCGTCCGTTTTTTGTATGCGCCGAGAAACTGTTGCAGTTTATGACGAGTGTTTGCGAAACGTCAATGGCATTCGTCAAACTGTCGCCTGCGTTCGCTGCATGTTTTTTTAATGCAATGCGAGGTAGTACGAGTACAGCAGAGGCTTATTTACCGAAAGGTCAGCGAATACGAACGTTTTTAGTCATAAACGACAGATAGAACTTCTACCCATCCAAAAATTAGTTGGATCTCGGTGTGGCGTCTTCTTCATTGACGGCGGGCGACCACGACAGTGAAAGATCAAATTTCAAAGCGAAGTTTAAACGCATTGTTTTCCTCTGGGTAAGTGGATCACTGCGTTGCCCGTGTGCTTATCATAAAACTTGAAGCGGTCGGTTGACGACGCAGTAGTGGTACCAGGCGAGAGACTGCTGTAGGCTCTTTAAAAATGCTCTGCCAGGAAACCGGTCACAAAAATCGGGTGTACTCCGCTATTATTCAGTTCTCGAAGGGAACTTGGATTTTTTTGTATATGCCTTCTTTGCTATTGCTTTGCCATTTGCTAGATGATGACGTTTTTCAAGTTGAATTGCCGGAACAAAGAATGTTAAACGTGAATATTCGCGCAACATTGTTTGAGTTGCCATCTTGGTATGCAGATGATCAGATTCATTTAAAACTTGATAGTAGCTTCAGGCAAGAGCAAGTATTAGTGATTATAAGCAAACTACGTGGCTTCGCAACCAGACTGTAGTCTGTGAATGAAACAGTGCTTTTGTGGGGCAAAGCAGACTAGGCTTAAATCTTGAAGCCCTTGTTTATTTAAATCAGTTATCATTTTCTTCTATACTAGCAAGTTTTCAGCTATCATTTACCGTGAGAGGCATATGCAAAAGCACATTTTAGTGAAAACATGTACACGGTGAATGTTCCTATTTTCAGTATGCACGCGGGTACTTTCAGAAAGCACTGTACCAGGTCCTGTGATACATGAATCAGGTGTGGTGAGTATCTCTCCTGATCCCTCCTGTGGCAGTCCGTCTAAAAGCGTGTTACACGCAAGCGAAAGTTCTGTCATTTCTCCAGATTTACACGGCTTAGCGCACCCGTCCCGTTGCTTATAGTAATCTAGGGCACTGTTTAAGCAGGCCACGGTTCCATGACATTTTAACAGCTGCAGTGCATTGGTCAAAATGGTTCCACTTGTTGGGTCACAGAAATGCATATTTGAACACCAACAAATATGCCTCTGTTCATACTGGGCCAGTGCACAGGAGATGCTAAAATACCTTGGAGCCGTGACCTGCTTAAACTCTTTCCTAGACTACTGGAAGCAAGAGGAGGTGTGCTACGTCGTGTTGTAAATCCGCAAGATTGACTGCAGAATCTTATTCTCGCCGGCTTTATTGAAAACGAGCAGTTTGCTAGCAAACACATATTACTTGTTTATTTTCGGTACAGACGTAAGCAGATGCATCTTGAGGGAATAAAATGTGCTGTACATCAATATTTTCATAAAGACGGTTAGCAACCAAAATGTTGTCACTGCGATATTCGCGAATGCACTATCCTGGTCCCGTAAACAACGACGAGTCATTCAGAATTGGCTGTTGGACAGGCGCATTCGCGTTTCTCAGTTAGTGAAAGTTAGTGCAAATGAAATCACATTATTAGCGCTGGGTCTGTGATTGGCATGCTGCAGGCTAGTTTAGGCATACATTTCTCTGTGACAAACTTCTCTGCTGTCAGTAGAGCATTTTTTGCTGTTTCACTTAATTTAGGTACATCGGTATTTATGGGCGATGCTTCCTTAGAATTTTTTCATCATACTTTGTTATATGCTTTATTCCCATAGTTACAGAGAGGTAAACTTCAGCACTCATTACCCGCAGAATACAATTTCCAAACAAGAGTTTAGAAGCAGTTCCGTTTGGTAATTCCATGTTTAAGCTATGATAATGAACCCAGCAATCCATGGCCATGTACGGTTAAAGACAGTTGACAGTTTTCAACTTTACAAACTAAACGGTCTGCTGTTCAGAAGGACGTTATACCGAAACAGGAGAAAGCTGGAATTGTATGAGCGAATTGTACCCTGTGAATTGCACCTGTGAGTAAAGCAAAATTAGGAGAACTGGGCGATAATTTATGAACACTATAGGGAACATATGGCTTGCTTCAACAAGGAATAGCTAAAAGGTGCTCTGCCGCAGCTCAACATAAACCGGAGAACTATATTAAACAGGAATTCGAGCGGAATAATTCAGAGAAATACAAACTGGATAAATAGGAAGATTCCGGAAAGTATCACAACAGAAGATCACGCAACAGTTGAACTGGCAAACGAAAATCTTAGCTGAACACGGTTTCCATAGACATACTACTCAACATTTTCACAGGGGGACTTCTAGTCACTGATTGTGTTGTATTATAACCTTGCCTCCAGTCGAAGTTTTCTGCATTTGCAATCTTCACACAGCTATAACACTACTCAACTTTTTTCCAACCAAAGCCACTATTCTAGTACCAATTAAAACTTGTCATTCAAATTGGTTGGCGAGGGGGCAACTGCATCAATTTTTTAACCATGGTTTGCAAGTTCTGGTGAAAGATGATTGTAGATCACGCTACGGGTTCAGCAGTGATCAGCTTTGCGGGCGATTATTTACGGGCTATCTGCACAGTTAAAATATATGCGTTCAAATTCATGGAATATTTCACAGTCATCATCATCAGCGTTTGTCGATCTGTTGCCACATGAAAGCCTAGCCAAGACTTTGCCAAAAGCTTCTGCTTTCTCTCGTTTCCGTCATCTTGATTCAGCGAACTTTAGGTTATCCCTCCATCGATCTGGAAGTCTTCATACAGGCCGTTTACTCTTGCTTAAAACCCAGTTTAATGTCTCTCTTCTACAGTGATAATCATTTTTTTGCATCGTGTCCTGCGTATAGCTTGTTCACTCTCGAAATGACATCGCAGACTCTTTTTTTGTGCCCCTATACATTTACTCGTTCTCCTGCATTTTGTTACTCCCAACATCATGCATCTTTCCATACTGCTTGGCGTCGTCTTTAGTTTATGAATAGCTTTCAATCTTAGGATAACCCATTCGCACCTATAAGTTAACACTGACCCCTGACCGTTGGCACTGGGACCACACTCTAATCAAAAACTTTCCGTTTCAAGCACAATGGCACTTTATCGTATAGGAACATTTTCAGTCTTTCAAAGTAGCTCGGTGTCATTTTTATTCTGTTAATTTCACATAATCGGTTCTCCGTTACAGAGATAAGTTGGGCCAGGTAGACATAGTATTGCATTTCTCTGAGCGTTGAAGTTCGTTGACTTCAACAGGTCGCGGGGTTGTTAAACATTACCTGAGTCTTCTTCAGGTTCATTCTCAGATAGACTTCGACATTTGCGTCGTTCAACTATTGAATTCTTCTTTAGAGCTTTGCTGGTGACATTGGAAAGATCAGTACGTTGTCCGCAAATCACCGGTGTTTAAGTTTTTTTCAACCCCTGATTTTTTCAACGGAGTGTATGGATAACTTCTAGGGCTGTTATGAATAACTTCGATGATATAACAATAACTTCCATCACCGCGTCAGACGCCTTTTTCGATTTTGAACCTGCTTGTGCTTTCGTTAAGCCGTACCCTAGCAGTTGCATTCAGATTATGTCGATGAGGCAGCTGTGTCTTTCCTCGATTATCTGGTCTCTCATGGAACCAAGTACAGAAAGAAATAGACATAGTTAAAGCCTTCACGAAAGCAACGAACCCCAGACAAAGCGGAAGCTGATATTCGTTGTTTCTTTGAATTTTTCGTTGTACTAACTGGAGGTGATATATCGTACTGAATTCTGCTTGCTCCTTTGGCTGTGCAGCGTCCAGTTTTTCTTGAAGTATCTTCGTCGTTACCTGTAAAAATATTGTTGATAAGTAGCAACAAACTGATTAGTCCGTGTTCTTTTTTGTGGAGTAGAATCACTGATGCAGTAGTCCAGTCGTCTGGAATTTTCAGTTCCTTCACGCAGCGTAAAAATATGCTCGCTAAAATATTGGTCGATGCTTCACCCCTTAATTCTACGAGTTCCATAGTAACTCCGTTCTTACCATGAACTCTTCTTTGTTTTGATTGTTTTACTGCATGTGGCACAGCTTCTGGCTAGATAACTGTTTTAAATTTCTTTAGTTTCATTGAAAGTCAACTTTATTTTTATCGTCACCAAGAATGTGGTGTCTTCATCTTTGTACAGTTTCCTGTAGAAACCTTCCAGTTATTTTCGAATCTCTTCTCTGGCCTTGCTGACAGTTCCATCTTCCTGTTTGATAGCGAAAGTTTGTTGTTTTCCACTGTCACTGTTTCGTTTAGTTTCTTCACTCATCAGTCGAATTTCATAGTTTCCTTTACCAGTCTGCGGTTAAATGCTTTTACTCATTTTCTGAAACTTTTACTAAGTTCCACGTATTTAATCTTTGATTTTTGATCTGTTGCTGTATTCATGACTCATCGTTTCTCCTAAAGTTTATGTTTACTTCCTGATTTTACCGTCGATTTTCATTGTCCTTGTTCCAGATATGTTTCCCGCCGTTTCTGTATCTGCCTTCATCATTTTTTTGGTACGTTTCGTTTAAGTCCATCTCTTCTCCTGTTTCCTATTCTTGTATTCCGTCAGGGACGTCGAATCGGTTTTTTAGTTTGAGTTCGAATAGCGTGAGGTTCTTTTTTACAGTTTCCACATCGAGTATCTTGCACTGCATCCTCAGCAGTTTCCTTGTTTCTAAAGCTGAGCCCAGGCGCGCTTTGTATCCAGCAAGTCTGTGATCGCCTTCTCCGTTACACTTGTTCAGCATTGCTATGTCACACACTGTTGTCGTGTGCATGCTACGGAGGATGAAACGATTTATTGATGTCATTTCAGTCTTTCATTGTCCATCTTTTGCTTGGTTTTTTTCTAGGACAACGATGTTCATGATAAATAGGTTGTAACTTATCATCAGGATACCTTAATTCGGCACATTTAGGTGGATCACCTGGAGTTCGTGTTTCTTTCAAATCCGCGTGACAAGTCTTGCACATCTCTGAAGTTCTGTCCGCTTGTACTGCATAATTTAATTTTCTGTGCTAATGAACTTTCAGCCCCGAAGCTCAGACTCTGGCACAGAATCGAGAACGTTGGAAGTTCTGTCTGACGTGTCTGCCTCCGCGACCTGAAAGGAGAAGCGGCGATGGAAGCTGAAGATGAACTTTCACCCTGTACTTTCATTTTCTGCTACTCTGTAGAACTGAAAGTATCCGCTTTTAAGCTCTGACAGCCTCTCTTCATTTCTCACTTTATTTTCATAAGTTCTTCTTTCAGCTCTTCAAGCCTTGCGTTGTCTAGAAGTGATCTGCAGTCGTACGTTGCCAGCGTTAGTAAACCGAATCAGATATGATTCGTAATTCGGGCATTCCTCGCACCCTCCGCCTTCATGCCTGACCAGCTGCTGTCTTCACCGGCGGCAGTCCAGCCTCTTTGTAATGAGGGTGGCGGTTTTCATTTTGATTTTTTCTTGTATGATTTTGCCGTAGTTCACTACGCTGGCCAGGCTGAATGGCTACCGTTCCCTCTTTCACTTGGTCGGGTATATTTCTCAAGCTTTCACAGAATGGTTGAACCTGCAAGGACCTAGAGGCTCAGATGTACGTCGTACTGAGAATCCGCTGTCACCCTCCTATCATGTAGTAGAAGAAGGATTTAGGAGGGCGGGGAATATTCGTAAACTTTTACTTAAAAGCAGATCCCTCATTCACTAGAAATTTTCTCTCGGAGGCACATGTTGTTAAAGTCTATTTTCATTAGCCATTTGGTTCCTGAAATCCTCTCGCAAGCCCGGATGCTGCCGGCCGTTGAGCGTTCAGAGGAGAGATAGGAGATGGATCTGGAAATGATAACTTTACTCCAGATCTGTTCGTTCCTGATCTGTACCACGCGAAATAGGCTGATGTGCGATCAGTAGATATGTTGCGTCTGATTTTGACAGAAG